GCAATGAAGGGTAAAACTTTCCTGCGTTATCACATAATCTCTTTATTTTCCACCATTTATGCATCAATTAACAGGGAGAGCATAATAGGCACTCCACATGAGCAATAAAGCTTTGGTGAGCTACTAAGCTCGGCTTACGTGGATGTAGAAAACCACTTATTATCAGATTCAAATCTTGATGGTATTTTGTATAGAGAATCCTGCAATATTAATTAAACATCATTTACAGAGATTATAATAAACTGATCATATTCAGGCTTCTTTATATCATTATGTGATTATTGTGATGAATAAATACATATGCAGGCCCCAGTTTCGACAATGAAGTGGCCTTGAAAATCCAACCCATTTGTGATTTAGTCAATGTGCAGTCATCTGCATCAGTACAAACAATACACACATCAGTATATTTCATATGGATTAGGAAACAACAGCATTGATCTATCTCTATGCATAGGCATGGATATCCTGTAAAATAATATAATACTGCTCTACCAGGGAAAAAAAATATTTAAAAAATTTCGGGGGCTGCTTTTCAAGCTTGCTTGCATGAAAATAACACCCTTTAATTTGTTTTGCATTGAACTCTATGCAAGTTTTAAGGGGCCTTTTTATGACTTTCGGGGGCTCTTTTGGGCATTTCAGGGGCTACTTCGCCCTGAGCCCCTGTGTATTTTTTCCCTGTCTACCAACTGTCCAAAATTTGACTGTAAATGTCTCTTTAGGGTATGAATATAAGATTAAATTTCAAAAGAAAGATCAGAGGGCATCATTTAGCTTTCCCCTGAGGTGAGGTAAATGGGTACCTGGTGGCAATATTTGTGCACTGTGCGCTGATAACGGCTGCCGGAGCTAAAGCTAGGGTAATAATTTCCAAAGCTCTTTGCAAGCGCATAGAGACTTTATATCATCATGTGTTATGCGCTATACAAGAACAGAATATCATTAATAATAATAATAATAATATTCCGTGTTTAAATAGCGCTCAATACATCGATCCGACGATGTGCCTAAGCGTTTTACAGATATATTACCCCGGTCATCAGATTCAGGCTTACCTGCACACAATGTATGCACATTTTCCACTCCCTGGGGAGAATAGGAATATGGAATGCAAATGTCCCTTTAGGATGATCTGACATTTGCTCTTTTGACATTTGCCATGGGCTTCATTTCATCAAACATATAGGTCCGAATTCACAAAGGAAGTTCAAATTTAACCCATTGCTTATTTGCACTAATTTTCAAACCATGGGTTATGTAAATGAGGGTTTAAACCATGGGTTAAAGATAAAGACCAGTTATGGTCATGCGATTGCATTGTGAAAGAAACGTTGTGGAATCGATCAGAAAAGGTTGATCATCTAGCATATAAGTATTGGTGTGTACTGCAAGGTTCTGAAATCATTAAAATGAAAAGAAATTTGGCCCAGTCTTCGTAAAGTTACAAGCACTGTACACAGAAAGATGTATATGGGACTATACAAGCCAATAGATAAACTAATTTACCAAATATATCAATTAGTAGGTGGATTCCCGGCAAAATTTTTATCATCATGTATTAGTCAAAACATATTCTTTCACATGATTGGTAATAAGAGCTTCCATTTCATTTTTTGAAATTGGGGCGTTTCCAATACTGGTCTTTACCTTTAAGTTAAACCTCCTTTGTGAATTCGGGCCATAAGGGTTGGGGTTGCACTAGGGATCGAGTTCAGGTTTAGGGTTAGTAAAGAATTCTGTTTGATGGTTTGTTTGTTTTTTACAGGACTGCTAGGAGAGCATGTGTAAGTATCAAAGCAACCAGGGGATCAACGGCTTAAGTCCTATCCGAGGGACTTGGTAATGAGAATTGGTCATTGATGCCTTACCAAAGGGCACTAGCACATCGGCTTGGTTTCAAATCTGGGACCTCATGGTTACAAGACAACTGCTCTACCCCTGAGCCATTACACCGTCTCTGTTAGCCTATGCTGAAAAGTGACGACCGTTTTATAACGGGACGGTTTTATAACAGGACCGTTTTATAACGGGACAGAGCAACTATCGACGGAGTACATATATATGTTGTACCAACCTCCGATGGGATATGAATAATGTGAGATGAATCCATGTGGAACATGATATGGCGTCATTCACTGCTTCCCGAGATAACACCATGATTGGACGATCAGGCAAGCCTTGGGAAGCATGGCAGCTGCCTAACAACAGGACGGAAATTACTCCTGTGTCTTATGGCCCTGTAATCTTGACGCTTTTTGCGCATTCTGACAAGATTCACAGATGACTCGGACACGCTTTTTCATCCTCCACCCGCAATAATGGCGATTACATGTCACTAAAAGAGGTTTGTAATTTTCAACGATTATAGCACAAGAGGAAATTATATGCATTTTTAGGCAATGATTTGTTTCACTTCAGATACAATGAAAATTTGCAGTTTCTCATGTATAGCTGTTTGTTCTGTGATTTTTAAAAAAAAATTATCGTCAGTCGGAAGGGTTTAAAGGCAATAAACACTGGGCATGTTAATCATGTTAAAGGGGGTGTAGCATGGCAAATACTGGTTAACACCATCTACGACTTCTTTTGGACAACTGCATGTAAACGAATGGACTTGATCAACAGTCAGCACGCTAGCGTTCACAAAACAGACCGAAGTTCTCCTTACGCTTCAGTTTCGCTTATGTTGCACCCACGTGAATACTGCGGTCGCGTCGTCCGTAGTCATTTTATACCCGATTGGCCCAGAGTCAGGCCACGGGAAAGACACGTAGTCTCGTCATGCTACAACCCTTTTAAACTCTTGTAAAGGTTGCATCTTCCCCAGCCAATGTTTCTGGGACACACTCATTTTCCTCTAAAAATAATAGATGTAGACTTGTAATAAAAGGTCACCATTCCAAACAAGAATACCTCATTTTACCCATTGGTTGTTTCTTCTTATAATTCTGATTTGAAACAATCCATTTGAGAGGTAGCATTCTTTCCCTTTAAATATATCTGAAACACACCCAAACTTTCTCTTTTAATAGAAGTGAATGAATTTTACCATTTAACAATTTTTCCTATCCAAAATTAGAATAAAGCATTGCATCATTCATCATATTTTTTTAACATACAACAATCTTTGACTCAAGAAACTCCCTTCAAAATGTTTCATTCTTCGCCCATCACTATTACATGACACTTCTCTGATTTAATAGATTTGGGAGTGTAACCCCAAATTACCAACTCAAGAATAAAGTCTGGTTTCAGACGACCCCTTCAAAAGGTTACATTCTTTGCTCATAACTATTTCACGACACACCAAATTTTCTCCAAAATGAATGAACTTGAACCTTTAAACAGAGAATAACCAACTAAAACAAGGAAACATCAAGCATTTTGTTTTTCTTTCCAGAAAGTCTTTAGAAAGTCCCCTACAATGTCTGGTTTGAAACATCCCTTCCATAGATTGCGTTCTTTGCCCATCCATATTTTACAACACACCCAATTTTCTCCAAAATGAATAAATTTGGCGATGAGTACCCAGCGCAAACCGGTAGACGCATGCTGCATGCATTACACATGCGGGGTATTGAATGCCAACTGCGGGCTATATGCATACATGTACAACATGCACCGTTACCGCCGAATAACCTTTCACGCTCTCCCCTTTTGTACGAAACGCGGGGAACACGATCCAGCCTGTTTGCTGATTTACAAGAATATCTGTGCACCCATTAAAGGGTAATATTGATTTGTCATCGGGCTTTTAGGCATCTGGCCTTTGTTTTCCCATTGCAAACAAACAGCGAGTTGATGTATCAATTTTCTTCTGAGTTTGTCAACATGTCTCCGATGCTTTACTAAACAGATGAGATAGTTAAGAACACACGAAATGGGAAGGGGTAAAGAATAATCAAAGAAAATAAGTACAATGGAGAAAGAAAATAGAGAAGAAGGGAAAGATGAGTAGTGGTGAAAACCCAGTATTATTTTCGCAACAAACTAGCATCAGTCTACCCCATGCTCCCCTGATAACACAATTCCGTTCTGCATTTATAACAATACCTTAAGATTAAACAACATAATAATAACATACTCTATGGAAGAATAGCCTGTGATATGAAAAAAAAATCTTGTACAAGACACTGAAAGATTATTCAAGAATCTTTTAGCCTTCTTTCACACTGAATTTTACATGCAGTGGATATTTATTTTGAAATATTTGTTCGCAAAACATCAAATCTTACAATATTCAATAAAGATATCATGTAGACATCTGTATTTTTTCTTGATGTTTTTTTTCTGTGTCTAATGCTTGGCTTCATTTCAAACTTTTTTTCAATTACGGTAAGCATTTTTCTTCAGATACATTAATTATGCAGAAGAGGAAAATGTTTTGGGAAAATCTCAAATTTTTCCTTCTTAGTGCATTATCACAAAGAGATACTAGAATGTGATAGCTTCATTGTTTCTTAAAGTGTGTTTTACTTAAGGATTCTCTCTCTCTTCCTCTCCCTCTCTCTCTCTCTTCTTCTTCCTTTTACCCTACCTCTTTCCCTGCCTCCCCCCCCCCTTTTCTCTCTATATCTCTCTCTATTTCTCTCACTCCCCCTCCCTCAATCTCTCTCTCTCTCTCTCCATAACTCTCAATTCTCTATTCGATTTCATTTTCTTTCTTTGTATTTTCTTTTTCTCTTACTCAATATACAAACGACAAAAAATTGCACACAAACGATGAAACCACCATTCATGACAAGTGATAAGACTCTGAAACTCTGAAATAAAGATTCTGCATTTTCTCCTCATCAGTTCAAGAAATATAGGTAAATCTTACCTTTTTTCTACTATTTTCATAAATCAACTTAGCCCCTCCCCCATCATCCCATTTATCTTGCATGCTCTCTTTCTCTTTCCCTCTCTCTCTCTCTCTCTCTCTCTCTCTCTCTCTCTCTCTCTCTCTCTCTCTCTCTCTCTCTCCTCTCTCCCTCCCTCCCCCTCCCTCCCTCCCCTCTCTCTCTCTTGTGCACCCACTACATATCAGTAAGGTTCCAACTTAATCAATTTAAGTCACTTTTCTTGCAGAAATTCACCTGCCTAAACAAAATATTAGGCTTTCACTTTCCAAGAACAACATCTGTTGATCTATCTGTCTCACTCTCATGAAAATTCATGATTCAATGTCCAATCAATAAGTTTATTTTGTAACAATCGATAAATGTTTCTTGCTCGAGTTCAAGACAGCATACAAACATCAGCATGTATTTCTGTAGCTACTGTATTCATCAAGATTGACATTTGGAAACTCATCATTCACATCAGCATCCGAGAAACTAGAAATTGAATTTTTCACCATTTTTAATAACACAACACAAACAAAAACAAACAAACAAACAAACAAACAAACAGACTTACCTATGTTAGGGTGCTGTAATTTGCGGCATATCCTTGCTTCTCTTTCCAACTTCTGAAAATCTAAGAAAGAAGAATGTAAAAACAATTATAAATACAAAATCATCAAAAGAAACACTATGAAAAAAGATTGGCATAATTTAACAAAACAAATAAACCATTAAAAAAAGTACTTGTAATCAGAAGGCCTGCATATCGAACTTGCAGGCTGTTGACTATGTGGGCCGTAGATCTACTGATGAAATTTATAATTCTTTGTATTTTTCATTTCATTTATACTATATATCATACTGAGAAATCTTGGTTTTGTTTTCATAATAACTCGCTTTGTGGGAAATAGCAGGCTAATTAGCGCCCGTCTTCTTCTAGTTTTGATGAGCGTGTCGATCTGGTGAAGACGCAATTTCGAGCTTCGGGAAAATATCCTGAGTCTGAAAATAGCGGGTTATTTTACAACTTTGGTCTAATGAGGACAGGCCTAGTGGGATTATTTGTGTGGCATTTAATGATTTAACAGCAAGCATGCCTCCCCCTCCCCCCCCCCCCCCCACCCTTCAACTTTATACTGAAAAACTTTCACAATACTGGTATGTAAATTTGGGGAATAGTTAATGGCAGGAATTTTGCAAATTTTCACAAATTTTGTGTTGAAGTACATGTGATTTCATTATTTTGGACCACGAAAATGTCTCGGATCAAAACCACTTGCAAAAACTCCAGAATGTTTCATGCACATGACAGTTTCTGGCGTTGCAGTTTAAAAGGCCACTTGTGGAATACATGCATGGGCAGCTATAAAACAGAGATGTGACCCAATATCAGATTCAAATTCATGCTCGTTGTCGTACACAAGACTCCAGGGAGCATGCTAAATAATGACAATTATATGCACATGACATTTACAGTGTCCTCTCGAGCAGCCAAGCCAAAAGAGCAGCCCGATCTGCCTAGGGCTAGCCGATCTATCTTTCAGTCAGGGTAAAATAGAAGAATAAATCATGGATGGAATACTTTAAAGGTTACTTGTATCTGAGCAAGTCTAAAGTTTGTCCCATATGCCACGAAATACCAAGTATTATTAAATAGTTTTGGAGGAATTGTTATAATGATTCGACATGAAAATGTTTCATCTGATATTTGGTCCGTTTTAAGCTCCAGTAGGGCAATCGGCTTGATACAGTCAACCGATATACTGAATCTTAAGAGGGGTCAGTTAGGTATGGAACGAAATGACTTTGATTTGACTATTTATTATAGAAGAGTAAAAGTCAATCAGCAAAAAGCGTTAACATGGAAGTCTGTTAATTAAGCCTGGGAAACCCCCTTGAATTGCCTTAAATGGCGTCAAAATATGGCGTCAAAATATTTCTTCATTATTTATTCAAACTGTCCTTGAAGGAACCCAACCTTTACTACATATAATCCCCTGGGGGTAAAGAAAAATGTGAATTTTCTTGTGCTGAATTTATACCATGCATCAGGGCTACCGGTAGACACTATCGAGCGCCTTTGACACATAGGTGCCAAAAATCTATGCCAGAACCCCCCCCCCCCCCATTTGGCAATTTTTACACAGGGCTCATGCGTGCAGACTGTAGAAAGTTTGATCGAGACCCCCTTCCCAAAAAGTTAGAGCAGAACCCTGCGTACGCAATTACACAGTGACTCTGATAGAATATGACATGTATTGGGCAAACAGGATTCGATGAGTCAATGATACTAATCCAGGACTGTACAGGTAGCTACTTCCCAGACAATGAACTACAGAAGAATTCCTTATAGACTGGAACACGTCATGTATCAATCATATAAAGAGATGGCAATTTAAGTTGACCCAACAATGTCGGTCACCTCTGGTCTCTATCACAATCCAGAATATATTGTTCTAATTTAATTTTTCATGGAAAATTGAGACTTGAGCAGGATGGCAGGAAGAATAGGTTTTCTCTGACAATAGCAAGGGCATTTAGGACCATCTTCGCATTCCAAGTAAAGTACTCATAAGGCCTGTCCTCATCAGCTGGAGTTTGCCAAACAACCCGCTATTTAAACTATCCCGATCGCAAATTATTCAGCTAATTTGCGTCTTCATCAGCCCGCAGTTGCAAATATATGGTTATTTGGTTGAGAAAATATCCTGAGAAATATTGGTCTTGTTTCCAAAATATCCCACTTTTTAGGAAATAGCGGGCTAATTTGCGCTCGTCCGAGCTAGTTTGTGTTGAGCGTATCGGTCTGGTAAAGATGCAATTTCGAGCTTCGGGATAATATCTGGAGTCTGAATATAGCGGGTTATTTGGCAAACTCGAGCTGAGGACAGGCCTTTATTCTATGGGTTTGAATGAGTCTTTAGAGCAGGATGTCAGGAGGAAAAGGATTTCTGTTACAGTGTCAAGGGCAATTAGGACCCTCTTCGCATTCAAAGTAAAAGTATTCATATTCTATGGGTGTGATTGGGTCTTATGCAGGTGGCAAGAATTAATTTACAACTCAGACAATTCTAGCTATCGTCAATATAATAAAATACCTGTGCAAGCCCCATTTTAGATGCACTCTGGGATGCCCAAGATTCTTCTGGGGGTGTTTCACAAAGATCATAAGTTGAATTTATCTCTAAGGTGGACTTAAAAATTATGGAGAGCCATTTGTAGCCTTAAAAACCATTATATTCAAATCGAAAAATCAAGTATTTTAGACTTTTTATAAATTCCACATCAAGAAAATGAAATCTTCTTGATAATAGAAAATATGAATGATTTGGATCAACATTTTATTTTTACATAAAAATAACTTTTACAAAATGTTTTCAAAGATGCTAACAGCTTTCCATAATTGTTAAGCCCAACTTAAAGATAAGTTCAACTTAAGATCTTTGTGAAACACCCCCTGGTCTATTTCGTGCAGCTGTGCTGTGCATGCAGGAACTGATCGGTTGTGTTTGTGTGTATACAGTACATGCGACCTTGAGTGACCAGTTTCGGTGTTGTCGATCGAGTTAGCTGTATACACATTGGAATAGTCGGAATTTGTCACCTTTCACTTTGTCTTCCGCCTTATTTGATTGTACATCATTGTAAGCAATTTTCTACTTTTTTTAAACTGAATTATCAGTTGGGATATGGGGCGATATTGTGAATTTGCTGTGTGTTGGTTGCACGACAACACACACAAAAAAACTTTGGAAATATCCCTGGGTAAAATTCCCAACAAACCCCTACACAGCGTGTGACCTGGAAAAAGTTGCTCCAAAGGCAAGCCAAGTGTGCAATCATTGATCAATCAAGACTATGTTCATGGCATTTTGACAAAAAACAATTACAAAATAATGGACATGCAGTGGCATTCCCCAAGTAACAATCATTAACAATTGTTAAAAACAACAAAAATAACAATAACAAAACAAAACAAAAACAACAACTGTAACGATAAAAATAATGATGACAATTATAACAACAATAATAATAATGATGATGATAATACATGAAGCAGTAAAAGTAATTAATAATAACAGTAAAAATAATATAATATAAAGGTTGTTTAATCATCAAAGCCCTCAAGCATTAGAATATACATGTATATGAATTAAATTCCTTCCTATAATTTTCTTTTGTGGCTCGTATTTGTTTGAATATAATCTACTATTATACGTAATTAATAATAATCAACTAATAATGATAATAATAATAATAACAATAACAATAATAACACCAAGATTTGTTGCAATATAAGCACAAGATTTTTACAAATATGAAATTAAATATTATTGTGTTAATGATAATTTTCTGCACAAGTCAAATGTAATAAAGTACAGATATTTCTGCGTGACCGCCGCAAGCATGCATGCACATGCATGGACATGCATACACCGGAAATATGTAAGTTTCTGAATTGGTTCCAAATTACATCCAAAAGTACACAGCCAGGCATTTTGGGCATATTAGCGATAGCGAGAAATTCATAGACATCTACACATATGTATTCCCCTTTTTATACTAAAAATAGGTATGTTATAATTATAAGAGTGTAAAATGGACCATAGGGTATTGTATAGCCCCTTTTCATACTAAAAATAGGTATGTCATAATTATAAGAGTGTGGATGGACCATAGGGTATTGTACAGGATGGCTCATGAGATTTCATTTGTTTGCTTCTGGTTGTTATTTGTTTGACTGTCTGTTTATGATTTCTTTAAAACCCCACTGTACTACTTGTAGCTACTTGCACCATCTATATAGCACACAATCCCTAATCGTGACCACTGGTCCCCCATGATCTTCTTTTTCTTATGTTAAGTGAGAGCTGATTTGATGAGATAACCACCTGTCAGTGACCTTGCAGGGGGGTCTAATCCCTCCTGTAAACTAGTACAGATGGGCTTTAAGATTATTTAATGTGAACCCTACTACTACAGACAGACTACCTGTTGGAAGCTTCAACAGGATGCTACCAGACACAACGTCTCTGCATCACTCTTATTTTGCTTATGTGAACAGGGCATAGAGATGGATATCTGCCTCTATCAAATCTGATACACCTCCTCTTTCTGATGCCCAAAGAAAGTCATTAAATCTTGATTAAAAAACATGACTATAAGCAATAGACAAACCACTGATTTGATCTTAAGACTGTTAAGTTCCCATTAAAATACACTCTTATTTTGCTTATGTGAACAGGGCCTAGAGGGGGATATCTGCCTCTATCGAATCTGATTCACTTCCTCTTTCTGATGCTGAAGAAAATCAAGAAGATTTAAAAATGAGATAGTATCATTCTATGACAAAGTTCTATTTCTGAGCAGACAATGAAAGAGTCTACAGTTTTGAAGGGAAAAAAAGAATGAGTACTTTAATTAACAGTGTATTAACCGCACTTTTTTGCAGCGGAAAAAAAATCAAAGTCGGGGGTGCGTCTTATACACGGTACACACACATACAACAACAAAAAAAACAAAAAAATTTAAGTTTTGATTTATGCCCCTCCACCTGGTCTATGCCTGGCAATGTCTCCCAGCTCAGTAATCGTGTGTTGACTCACCACTCGGAAACTAGAACAACACTCATAT